ACTGAAAGTGTGGTCAGGCACTGGAACAGGCTGCCTAGGGAGATGGTGGAGTCACCATCCCTGGAGGTGTTCAAAAAACATGTGGACGTGGCACTTCGGGGCGTGGTTCAGTTGGCACGGAGGTGTTGGGTTGGTGGTTGGACTTGATGATCTGAGAGGTCTTTTCCAACCTTAATGATTCTATGATTCTACTAAATACCCCCTTTTCTGCTTTAACTTCACCATGTGACACAAAGACTCTACATACACTAAGAAAATGTGCTCTTCTTTGTGGAATCTGTAGTTACTTCTGTTCACTTGTTGCCACTTTTCCACTTGAAGCCTATAGGTGTTTTGTTAATCCAGTCAAGTAAAAAGCCAGAAGACACAAGACAGAGCTAAGCAAAGTATCTCTTAATTTTAAATGGCAAACATGAAACATGTCATCAAACATGAAGTCACAGGTAAATTAAAGAAAAAAAGCTGATGATACTTTTGAGTGTATTTGCTGGAACACAGCAATGTGTTCTAAATGGCAGACATCCCACATTTTAAACAAAGTAGAAATTCATCAAAGAAACAGTACCCCTTGAACGATCACTCCCTTCTAGCACTCACATACCGTATATAAATTTGGATGCTTCTCTGGAACAGAGTCCTTATAGAGCACAACAGCTTTCAAGTGTGGCAAACGACTCCAGATCTGTTGGATTTTTAAAAACACATGTATTATTTATTATTCATATCTCATAGGGGATTTTTTCCACTAAAATACTTGCCAAAACTGTAATGTCTTGACAGTCAGAAGAAACCTCCTGCTTCCACCCACCCTCAAATATTGTTCCCTAAACTCACAACCAGCTAACTCAACAAAGGTGGGGGGAAGAGAGGAGGAGGAAAAAGCAGATGCTACATAGTTTGGTCTAGAAAATCTGTTTTCAGCAAAAACATTGAAAAAACAAAGAAACCACTACCTTCTTAAGGAAAAAAAGGAAGCCATATGCACATTTTTAAGGATAAATAAAAATATAAAGCTGCAGGCTTGCAGACAGAAATGGCTGCTACTTTCAATAGCTCCTTCTCCACTTTGTGTGGCCTGCAGAGAGCACAGGACCCAGTGCCTCTTGGATGTCCTTGAATTAATCACACTTTGAACTGATTTGATCCCTCTGTGCTAATAGCTCGATGCTAGCTATTGTGTAAATATCGTGTAAATATTATTAGAAAGGTGATGATTTCAATGTTGCTTTTTCAGTATTGGGTTATTAAAGCAAAAAAAAATAATGAGGAAATTCTGAGCAGTAATATCCTCAATATTTAAATGGCAGGTCTTTACAAACTTGCATCATCCTAATCTTTTCCCTTCAAGTCGTCTGTGCTTTTTCAAACAGAATCAGGTGGTGACATCATAAATATAAGATCAAATGTGGTTTGTTTTTTTCCAGGTAAGTTTGCAGTGAACCAGCCAGTGAGCTCTCTGCTGGCCAGAGTCTGAATTGTTTAGATGGGAGCCTCAGACATGACAGAGAAGAGCTGCAAGCTACCCAAGAGCTCCAACACCAGATACCAGATTTCCAAGTAACAGCACTACCATGAAAGGCTTCACAATACAGAGAGAGTGAATATGGCATTTGGGACCAATGCAGCCTCAAGAAACAGGAAGATTATGGCTTTTAAATAACCATTCAGCCACCATGTACCTGCATTATCTTGTCCAATTGTTTCTGATTTTCCACAACCATGATATTGGTTTTGCTGTCATGAGCAATGTAGTGGCAGGCCTCTGGAGAATTAGTTGTGTATATTCCTGTCACAATTCCTCTGTAGATATATATAAAGGAACATATATTTATATACATATACACACATATACGTGCACTTAGTATCAAACAAGAGAATAACTAAAGATCAGTTGAAAGCTGAAAGAATATGAAGATGTTGAAGTAAACAGCAGCCCAGTTGTCATGTTTCTTTCACATATTCAGATATATAAGAATATCTACATCATATAGACATTGCAAAAACTAATCTCTGAACTCAAATAAGTAGAAGAGGCCCTAGGCCAGGATTCAGCATTTTAACTCCCTTGAGGCAACATGCAAGATAACTCTGGAAGTGTTAAGAGCCCCACTTATGTCCTTTCTCTGCTCCTGCTGCACACAGATACTAAGTCAAATTTCACTGCTGTGGAAAACAGCTTAAGAGGTAAAATCCACACTGCATTAACTGCTATTAGGACAGAGGAATCAGGCTGGTTAGTATTTATCTGTGACTTCATCTGCTTGAATGTATCTTGCTGTAGAATAATGTCACTAATATAACACAGGGAGTCTCACCTGTTTCCCATGTTTCAGTGGTAAGATACTGTACAACAGTTTCTGTGTGACAGTCACACAGAGGAGTGTCTGGGCTATTCTGGATATACCGACAGCTACCAGAGGGGATTCTCCCCCTTGATTTAGCTCTCATGAGACCCCACCTGGAGCACTGCGTCCAATTCTGGAGGCCCCGCCATAAGAAGGACATGGAGCTCATGGAGAGAGTCCAAAGAAGATCCATGAAGATGATCCAAGAGCTGGAGCATCTCTCCTACAAGGACTGGCTGAGAGAGTTGGGGCTTTTTGTTCAGCCTGGAGAAGAGAAGGCTCCAGGGAGACCTTAGAGACCTTCCAGTGCCTGAAGGGGCTCCAGGAAAGCTGGGGAGGGACTTGGGACAAGGGCAGAGAGGGAGAGGACAAGGATGAATGTATTAAAACTGGAGGAGGGGAGACTGAGGTGAGACATGAGGAGGAAATTCTTGAGTGTGAGGGTGGTGAGACCCTGGCCCAGGTTGCCCAGGGAAGCTGTGGCTGCCCCCTCCCTGGCAGTGTTGAAGGGCAGGTTGGATGGGGCTTGGAGCAACCTGGGCTGGTGGGAGGTGTCCCTGCGCATGGCAAGGGGGATCTAGATGATCTTGAAGGTCCCTTCCAACTCAAACCAGTCTGTCAATGAACATGCTAATCAGCTGTAGCACAAGTTCCAAGGTATGACGCCAAGTACTGATCTGCTCCATTTTCAGAGCAAAACAGAAACTCACCAATTCCTCACCAGAAAAAAAATCTTACCCAGCAAAAACGGCTCCAACAGCTGAGATGAACCATTCTGGAGAATTAAATCCAAGGATTGCTACACTGTGGAATCGTTCCAGACCAAGCTTAAAAATAATAAGCATGAGATTGTATAATAGAGGCACAATGGAGAGAAACATGTCGCATGAAAGAGACATACAAATACCAACCATGGAAAGCTTTGGTTTATTTATTATTTTGGTATTGTCAAGAATTCAAGGCACATCTCTCTGTTGGTGTCCACAGCAAAACCCCTATTTATCAGCAATTAACATGGTCTGCATTTTCCACTACTTTCTCCTGTGTCTAGTTGAGCTCTGCTCAGAAAGGCCCAAAGAACAGAACTTCTTAATATGAACATGAGAATAATAAGTATTAATCTTACTCTAAGCTTAGAATATTTAAAAATTTGTCTTTACCTTGCCAAATTCATAACAGTGCTGCTTCACTTATTTTTCTATTTTGGAATCTCAAGGCCTCATGCTGAGCTTTGTATTCATGGCCCAGCAAGACAGTGGAACACAGCAGCTCTTCACCTGCAGTCAAGTTCCCTTGACAGAAATGTTACCTCTTTGACCAAAACCAATTTCCATCATTTTAATTTCAACAAAGAATATGACTGCTTCAGTTAATGGGAAAAGCATCTTGGTTTTGTGAAGTGGGTGTCTTGTTGTTTAAGAAGATAAAAAGGGAGAAAAAGGGATTGGATTTGTTTCCTGTACCTACCTTCAAGAAACTCTTGGCTGCTTTCCTGGAGAGGCAATAATACTCTGAAAAAGTTATTTTCTCCCACTTCCCATTCTTTTTGCTGGCCAAAGCATTAAGGGATCCATACTTTTCCAGGCTCTCCTTGAACATCTGATGAACTGTTATGGGAGTCTGTGGACACGATTTATCTATTCTCAGTCTGACTCTGCCATCAGCAAAGGAAGTCCACAGAGGCTCTGGGAAGGAAAACATGATCATCAAGGTATTCTATCTAAAAATACTGTGTATCAAAAAACAAGAGGATTGAATAAAGACTGCAGGACTAAGCATAACTCTGCCACTTCCCAGCTTTGAGAGAAGGGCTTTCTAATGTTATAACTATCAAATACTCCATGTAGAAAGAGGTATCTATTTCTTACATTTTGTCCAGCCTCTTGAATCAAAGTGCCACAATACAGAATTATGCTGATCTTCTGTGTGTGACAGACACAACATCAATTCCAGAATAATCTGTTTGTCCTGCACAACCCACTCTTTGGCTTTAATGGAGTAGCTGGGGAATCAGAAGGCTACAGAGACTTGAAAGATCTGAAACTTCTCGCTCTGTTCAGCATCCAAGCTCCTCTTGCTTGTCATAGCTCCTTCCTCACTTCTTCTCCCTCCAGCTATTCTCCTTCATTCTGCCCCTTGTTCCCCATAACTTCCCACAGTTAATACCCTGTGTTCTAGCACATCCATCCACCCCTCTCCTGTCTAGCCCTATTTCTATGACATCTTTCACTTTTTCCTGCTCTTTCCTTCCTCACTCTGTCTTTCCCACCATCCACTTTTTCTCCTCTGCATTCTCCTCCTCTTGGCAGGACACAGACACAGAGCACCAAATAATGTCACTTGGCTCTCACCACTGGTGCCAAGGATAGGGGCAGACCCCAGCATTCACAAGAAATGACTGTTTCAAAGACTCTATTTGGCTCTTGCAAACCCAGCAAGAAGCAAGCTGAGTATCAATGCACTCCTTAGAGAATCTCGGGTTAGTAAACTGGCAAAATTGTGGTGAATTCTCCCAAGGAACACAGAAAACTACTTACAATTCCCCTATCAAAGAGCTAGTTCCTCTACTTCTGAGCAAAACTGCTCAATAATATTTTAATTTTTTTTTTCCTTAAGATTTACTTTTGTAAATTAAGAATTATTTTTAGTATAAATTTAAAAACCATATATTCTGCAGAGAGCTCGTGGAAAAATTCAGACCAAAGAGCTTAGGTTTGTCAGAATAACTGAAAACATGATTTTTTGAGGTTTCTGATACAAGTTAATAAACATGATTGTCTTTTACTACACTTACGGAAAGCAAAACCTGTAAAGAAAGCTCAGCTAGTATTTATACTATTTCCTGGTACCTCAGTGGCTGGAAAAAGCAGCCCTGGAGTGTTTAAAAGTACAAGATGCTTCACAGCCTTCTCAAATATTATTCCTCTAGCTTCTTCATAGAGGGCTTGGAAACTACCTCTCTGACAATACAGCGTCACATCAGCCATAGCTGGATCCACAGCAGTGCTTTAGAACACCTTGCAGCCTCCCTCAAGTCAGGCTTGTAATCTGCACAGATAACCAGAGGCACAACAAGCTATTGCAAGCTCAAATATATACATTAAAAAAAACACCAAACCATAAAATAACTTGCTCTTGCAGAAAAAAAATAACCACCTTTAATTACTTAGCTGTATAGAAAAGCTCATTCATAATCAGCTGATTATGTATATGTTACAGTACAACTACTAAACTGAAAAATACTAAAACCAGTTTAGTTTGCTGCCAGCATTTGGTGAAACTATTTCTGAAGATTACATTGCTCCATGCTATATCCTAGCATATGCAGAGCATTTTTGGGGAAAATAAATAGATAAATCCTTTTTCTACCCCTTCTCAGGTAGTGAGACAAAGACCCTGGTGCAGAAAGTGAACTGAGCAGTCCGAGCTGTGATGTGTGTCAATCCAGGATTAATGTTCCTGATTCACATTATGTTCCACTCATGTTCCTGACTCACAGTCCTACATTTGTTTCCTGACTATCCTGACATACAGAAAGCAATAATGACAGTGATAAATACAAATAAAACTGCTTAATCTTCATGGGGCTTAATGTTCTCATGTGTAAATTGCATATAATGATTTTCAAAACACAGGTGTGGAGCTTTGCTTAGGTCAGTGAAAGAAGGGCATCACAAATCCAGACAGTTTAGAAAACAAGTAGCTGTGAAGAATTCAATGTAGACACAGATTTCATCCAAGTGTAAACTATGGCACCAAACAGATTTATGAGTAGTGAAGGCAAAGCAGTTGTTTCTGCACTTATTCCCAATCCTGGTGTGAAAAGCATAAGACCTGTCAGAGGCGCTTGTGTGAATCCAAAGGGTTACTTTCTGCAGTGACACACCTAAACCCTGAGAAGAAACTCTATATGATGTTCTGGCTTCCATCTCAAATGGCAGGGATTGCAGGTGTGACTGGGCACAAGTGGGCAACTGCTCTGTTGAAAACAAAAGAGCATCTTCCAGAGCCAAAATACAACATTCTAGACTGTGTACTATTAGAAACACCCTTGAACAATGAGTATGTCTCTTCAAGGGAACTGGAAATATTAGCAACATTCCTACAGTAACATTACAGAAGTTGCATAATTACTATCTCTTCAGCGCACGTATACAACAGATACTAGAACAGTTTCCAGAGAGAAGAGTGAAAATCAATCAAATCATTGCAGTATCTACACACAGAACCCAAAATTGTACTTTGAAACTGGGGCTCTTTTTGCTTTTTCGTACACATTTTTTTTCTGGTGTCAAAAAGGCATCTTTGATTCATACTAAAGATTAAGAAGAGAATCAGTTTCACGGAGACTCAGTGAATCACCTTAATAATTACTCTGAAGACCTCTGATCTAAATATTTTCCATTTTTGGTGTGCAGTTTTGCACCAAAGTGTAAATTTCAACAAGAAACATTACAGGAGGAAAAAAAAATAGTTATAAACTTTAACACTTTAAAATATTTTTAAAGTTTTTAACTGATCTTTACAATACAATCCTAAACTCATGAGCCATTTACATGTGAACACCAGCTTGTAAAAGTACATTTGTTACTCAAATATTTTCTAGCAACTCTGAAATATTACACAACATAAACACATTACAATTTTTGTATCTTTATCAGCCAATTGTTATTATCTTCCACCATGTATGACTGAAGATTTGTGACATGGTACAAGCTCAGATACCAGAAAATATTTTAAGGAAACAGCAAATCCGTAATTTTTTTGCATGAATAATCAGTCTGGCTGAGACTGCTGGACCTCTGGGATGTATCAGTAAGGCTGTGTACTAGCTAAAAAGCAATTAAAAAAAGAATATACACATTAATCCTACAGTTTAAAGCTAATATATGAATTAAACCTTCTCTCTATTCACTACCTGACCTGCAAGTATCCTGGTGACTGCCAGAAAGGATTTGTGAATGTAAATGAATTCTAACATTTATGGGAAAACCACTGAGAGCCATATAAAATGCACAAGTACCAACGTCACCTTTCAGACAGGTAAACAAACAAGCTGACTGTGGAATGTGCTGGCTGCATGACCTGAGTAACTCCAAGGGATATTCCATACATGTGCCCTGAGAAGCAGGAACTAAAACAGTAATTTAACTTCTCCTTTAAACCAATTCCGATTTAACTTACAAAACAGAATCTTGATTATATGGCAGTTCCTGCAAAACATCATTTTGCTCTAATGACGAGAGAGGGTAATTCAGCTCTTGCTGGAGGCACTTCTGAGGACAGGAATCATCCCAGATTCCACAGCTATGATGCCATCACATTCTGCTAACAACAGGAATACATCATTCCTCCCCTCACCCATTATTTTTTCGTTTTGTCGTTTTCTACAACATGTTTGCGGCTCTCATCTTCTTTTGGGTAAAAGCTGGTGCTTAATCCATACTGGCTGAAGTCAGAGAGTCAGAGAGTTTGGCATCTGTGTCAAACCTCCCCTTACGCCAACGACAGATTAAACCAAAGCACAGAACTTCTGAATTTCAAGTGAACCACGATGGATGATAGAGACATAGTGATTCTTTCATGAAATCAGAAAAATCAGCTTCCTGTAGCTTGCCTCACCACAGCCTGGGGAGGAGAAGAGCTTTCTGTTGTATTACCCATTTTCCACAATAAACATGTAACTTTAAGCTCTCCAACAGAAAAGACTGCAGACACTGGAAATCTTTTTAAATTAGTCATACCCCCCACAAACATTTCAGAGCATGGACACTTGTGCTTCTTCTATTGGAGAAAAAGGAACATCAGCAAACTACTCCATGAATCAGAGAAACAAGATATCCTCCAAAAATGCCTCTACAAACTGACGTGGAGGGAGTGGTGCATTAGGATGAGGACAAAATAAGCTTCATAACAATCCTGACGCTTCTAAAACTGATTATGATGCACCAAAATGGAAGCATGTGGAGGGTGTAATCAGTAGGAAACGTCACTACAAAACCACTGCCCAGGCATGTAGGAATGGAAAGTGAAAACTCAGCTGGAATTGAAATTGGTAAGCAATGTGAAAAATCAAAAGAAGGATGTCTACAGGTACACTGGCAGCCAAAAGGAGAACCAAGGATATCACAGGCAACTTACTGATGTAGGGCATGAAAAGGGCTGATGTACTCTGTGCCCTTTTCACCTTGATCTTTACTGGCAAGATCAGGCTTCCTGGGTTTATATGGGTTTATGTGCACAGTGGCACGTGAGAAGTTTTACCTACAACAGCACCAACAGATCAAAGTAGAGACCACTTATGCAAACTGGACACATAGAAAAATTTTCAGTGGGCCCAGAAGGCTTCAGAGTGTCCACTGAGAGACCAGGTCAAAATCATCACAAGTCTGTTCTCAGTCATCTTTGAAACAGCATGGCAAAGGTCACACCTGTCTTCTAAAGGCGAAGAAGAGAGTGTTCAAATAACTTAAGGCCAATCAGACTCACCTCAGCCCATGGAAAGGCTGTAGAACACACTCTCCTTTAAATTGTTTTTAGCTATACCATGGTGACTGAGACCAGCCCGAATGGACAGAGTTGATTTGGCCTTGATAAATCCCAACCCTTCCATGATGAGGCTCTGAGATGGGAAGAGCAGTGGCATTTCATTTACTTAACGTTTAATAAGGTCTTTCACATGGTCTCCCCCAGCATCCTTGGAAGGT